TGCAGATGCCTGCAAATGAAAGAAACTTTGAATACATTTAAAATCGAAGCTTTTGACTTCCAGGCAAAGAGACCAATCATGAGGAAGGAATATGACAAACACATTTGACTGCTTCTCCCATTTTAAAGGCAAATATACAGAACAGTAGTCAATGACACAATCAGCCTACACACATGATGGTCTTGCAATGTGTGCGATTTAACACAAGGCTACATGCAGACTGCAGCACCTGTCAAGTCTCTCACCACTGAAGCCAGATTTTCTGCATGAGTAAAAAGGAAAGGAAATATGTACTGGTGATGATAGTCTGTTCTCAAATTTAGAAGGGGGGGCGGGGGGAGGCTAAACAGAAGTTGCTGGACCCAAGTCTCTGTCCAGCCTGTTAATTATTCTGAGATAATATCTAGGAAAAAAGAAAAGAACAGCTATTAATATATATAAATCAATACAAAATTTAAAAAGAAAAGGCTGCTAACAAATTGAAGTAAAAATATCAAATCAATGGTAAAAATAAATGAGTATAAAAGAAAAGTTCGAGTCTCAAGACAAGTTAAACTTTGGCAGTCTGAATTTCTCACAAAAATCATTTTAAAGGCCAGTTTATATGCTGAAAGTGAACACACATCATCCAGGGCTTTAAATCATGAGCACTAGTGTCCTTCCACTACAGTGGAAGCTAGAAATGACATTTTATTAGCTTCCACCACATTGATAGATTTCTTAGTGGGAATTTTTATATATATTTGAGCAGAAATGGTTTTATACTCATGGTAAAGTACTCCATTTGGGATCATGACTGCCCTAGCAACTCCAGTTGGTTCCGTGTAAAACAACTGGATTGAGTAGTGGTGTTAGCTGCTGTAAGTATTTTTTTGCTCAAACACTTTTAATAGCAGGTATAGATTTGTTTGGTGTCTAAATTAATGGCAGTATTTTACTTTAAACTGCCGAGGACGTCCCTTTATACATGGGCTTTGGATTCCTTGAGGTCTGGTGCTGTACATAGGAATTTTTTAAAGTGCCCCCATGGATGCAGCCCACTCTTATAAAAACTCCACCCTTTCACTGTGCTGTTTGAACTCCAAACCCCATCCTGGCATCATCTGCCTTAAGTCTGCAACTCTGGTCTTAATGCAGACCCAACTCTAAAAAGCAACCCTAAGTTTACTCCCAAATGAAGTGTCCGCAGCGCAGCTGCAGCCCCTGCAATGAAAGCAAGGATGGGCCCCTCACCCAGCAAAGATGTAAACGTTGCCCCCTGGTTTATAATAACAGGGATAATTAAATGCCCCAAGAGGAATGATGCCAACTACATTTCGGGAAATCAAGTTGCTTTTAATTCAATTGAATTCGACCTGTCCACTTTTTCCTCCTGGCCTATGCATTAGTGGAACTGCACCCCCCCCCCCCCAAACAGGCACACTCAAGTTATTCAGATGCCCACACCAAGGAGATTCCTTGTGAGGCTTCAAGGTTTAGCAACTACTTTCCTCCCCTACCCCTCTTGTAATGTGTTTTGGGGGTGGGGTTTTTTTTTTTTTTTTTTTTTTTTGCGCACTCCTCTTTTGAACAGCGTTGCACAAGCGAAGCCTTGGAAGTTTTCGAGGAGGTGGTGGACAGAGCGACCCACCCACCCTCGGCCGCCCTTTACTTCATCTACCTTCAGCCCCGGCTCCGCTCCTCCATCGGGGGTGGAGGAGGACATCCGCAAGGTGTCGCTTTTTTTTTTTTTTTTTGCAGAGCAAAGCTGGGGCGCCGTGCAAGCCTGGCGCGTTCTCTTTCCAGGCGGTGTCGTTGCGGTAGCGGGGAAAGGCGTGGGTATTTCTCTCTCTCTGTATGTGTGTGTGTGTGTGTGTGTGTGCGCGCGCGCGCGCGCGCGCGTCCAACCGAGGATGTACACAAACCAAGGAAGCTTATTTAATCGGTCTTACGGATCGGCAAGTTCCCACCCACCCACTCACCCACCCCAGTCTGAGCCTTTCGGGCAGCCTGTTTGGACAGAGGTGCTGCTTTGCTGCGCAATTCTACACCCATTTACTCCTCGCACTCAGGACTCCCCGACTCTCTGTTAATTATGGTCCTTCTCCCCTATCCCCCCGTCCATCTGGTCTTGTCTCCCTCCTCCTTCTGCTTTTTAACGATCGGCTGCAACATTTCAAACCCGAAACGGAAACCATTAGGTAAATGAAGACGAGCGGGATGATCCCGAGATTGCTTCCCCTGCAGAAAGCACCGGCTGCAACAGGAAGGGCACTAGGGAAGGGAAAGGGGCGGTGAGGGACAAGTGCTGGGGGGGGGGTGTTGTTGTTTCTGCAAGGGGTTTCCCTCCCGGGGGTATTCCGGAGCCAGGATCGGACAAGGCAGCGCCTCGGTTGTTGCCATTGCAGCAAACGGAGGGGAGGGAGTCGGGGAGGGGAGGGCAGCTTCGCAAAGGGCGCGAACCCGCCCAGGATCAGCCGGTGGCATCGGAGTAGTAAACCCAGCGGGAGTGCAATCGCGGCACTTTGCATTCCTCTCTCTCTCTTTTTTTTCCCCCTTCCTTTTTTCTTTCTTTGCAAGCCCCCTACGTCTCCTTCCCAAGAATAAAGAGGCAGTAGCAAACGAGGTTTTTTGGCGCCAAATGCCTGGCACCTCCCCTGGCTCTAGTCTATGGAAATCAGGGAGGTGGGGTTAAGTTTCGCTCGCACCCCCCTCTTTTTTTTTCCTCGGGTGTGTCAGGAATTTTTTTTTTAAGTTAATAATATACAAGAGGTTCAAAGCCCACTTAGTGACAGTCATCTGTCTGCAAGCGCAGGGTGAATGCAGAGGTTTGTTGTTGTTTTTTTAACTGGCTGAGGGGAAGGGGGGCGGCGATTGGGCTGCTGGCGCTCTTTAAAGTCCTAGATTCGAGACGACCATCTGCATTAATTTCAAGCCCCTTCTGCTCTCCCCAAGGCCGCCCCTCTCTGCCTTGCAACAACCGCCGCCGCCGCCGCCGTCGCCAGCCGGGAGGTAAGAAGACAAGGGGGATGCAACGGAAGAACCTTTGGGGGGAAAGAAAGAAAGAAAGAAAGAAAATTTGGGTAGGGGGGTGGCGGGCGTGAGAGAGAGAGAGAGAAAAGGAGGACCGGGGAGATCGGTGCCACCCTCGGGATCGAAAAGGAGAGAATTTGCGAGCCGCGTTTGCTTGGGTTTTTCATTCATCAGAAGCCAATGGAGTAACAGCCGCTCTCTCGCTCCCCTCCCTCCTTCTCTCCGATGTTGCGGTCGGTAGGACCTTTCCGCCTCTGTCCAGATGTTTCAGCGCCTTTCCGCGACTCCTCCGCTCCCCCTCAACCCCACTCTTCCCCCCCCCTCCGCGCCCCCCAGGTCTCGATAGCAAATTAATACGGCTTTTGAACGGGAGACTTAAGAATACCGTACAATAGTGAGAACGATCGCGGGGCAGGCGACCGACCGAGAAGCAGCTGGGATCGCGGCTGCTTTTATGGAGAGATTTTTTGCGCGCGCGGGCGTGTGTTTGGGTGTATCCGCGCGCGCCTTTTCTCAATGGGGATGAGAGGGGAGAGAAAAAGCTTTTTTTAAAAAAAAAAACAAAAAACAATTCTGAGGGATAGTTCACCGATGCCCGGCGGCCGTTTTCGGTAAAAATGCCCACCAAGCTCGCTTCTTTCATGCTCCCGTTTTCCTTCTGGCGCGGCTGGCTGACCGGCCGGACGTCGCAAAAGTTGCCCAGCCCCTTTCAGACTTCGAGGCTTACAACTTACGAGGGAACCTTACGCGCGATCCTGAGAGGATGAAATGAGATGACATGGGAGGTGAGGTGACCCGCACCGCCCGCCCGCCGGCCGAGCAAGCCGGCCGGTTGTAGGAATGTCTCTAGTACAGCTTTGTAGTTTCGGGACGGTGAACAATGGGATAGGACGGGAGGCGGCGGCGGCGGCGGCGGGGCTGGGGGTCTGGAATCGTACTCTTCCTTTTTTTTTTTTTGGAAAAAAGTAACGTCGCGTGTGGGCGTGGGTGTGTGTTAAAGAGCAAAACGGACGCGCCCCCCCCCCCTTTTCTTTTTTTTCCATCTTCATTTCCTCTCACCCTCCCCACTTTCCGCGTGTAATTGTGTACGTGTGCACGCGTCCGCGGACAAAAAAAAAAAAGCAAAAACCCAGTTATCTTATCAAAGGTGTTTTTGTTTTTACCCGGGTCCGGGTGAACGGTGCGGTGCGCGTGTGTGAATTTCCTTCTGTTGCATAATGCTGCTTGGCTGGGTGACTTCCTTCTCCCCCCCCCCCCCCCCCCCCCCTCCCCCCCCCCCCTTCCTCCTATCTCTGCGTGTGTGGGTTTCTGGAAGCGCTCTGGCGAATGAATGGAATGGCAATTTGCAAAGTAGCCCTGAGCGCCTCTCCCCCTCCCTGGGCTTTTTTTTTTTTTTTTTTAAACATCCGCCGCCGTCCTCCTTTTCCCTCGCCTGCATAGACTACAGATGACAAAAGGAGGAAGAAACTTCCTCTTTACTTTGCTTGGAATAGCCAGCAGGCTTTTTTTTTTTTTTCCCTGCAGGGCAAATGCTGGAAGAATATTTTGCTGCGTCTGGGAATTGCTCCGAAGCCCTCTTTACAAGAAGGGGTGTGTGTGGAGGCTTCTGCCCTTCTGGCTGACCTGGCCCTTGTTAAAGCTTTTTCTGCATTTTCTTTCTTAGAAGAGAATAAGTAAGTAAAGCATTAGGATGTGGGCAATGTGTCTTTCTGTGGGCTTAAGTCTCTTTCATTGAAATGTTGATGGGGATCTTTTCTGGCTTTCAAAAAGAAAAGAAGGCCAGGCTTATAATGATAACGATCTGCAAGGAGTAGGTGTACCTTTCTGCCTTTTAAAGCTAATTTGTATTTCTCTCCCCCCCCCTTCCTGCTTAATTTCAGGTTCTGCTAGGAAGGGGTGTTTTTTCTCACCCAGTGGGAAACAAACATTTCTCTCTTCTTCGGTTGTAATATCCTCATTCAGGATCCCGACTGAAGCAACCAGCGGAGATGCCAGGGATGGTCAGTAAAAATTCCGATCTCGAATTCGACTCTTTGCAGCCCTGCTTCTATCCCGACGAAGATGATTTTTATTTATGTGGTCCCGACTCTGCTCCTCCCGGGGAGGATATCTGGAAAAAGTTTGAGCTCCTGCCTACGCCTCCTCTGTCTCCCAGCCCGGCAGGTCTGCAGGAGAATCCCCCAGGAGGAGCCCCTGTGACATGGGGAGGAACAGCTCTAGCTGGATACCGAACCAGCGACCCTCTGGACTGGGCATCCGAGTTGCTGCTGCTGCCCCCCGAAGCTGACCTTTGGGGCAGTGGCGATGGAGGGGATGCCTTTGAGATGGGTTTGGGCGAAAGCAGCAACCTCAATGCCATCATTATTCAGGACTGTATGTGGAGCGGCTTTGGGACCAGTGATAAGCTGGAAAGGGCAGTCCCCGGGAAGCCACAGACTAAAGGAGGAACAGCTGGAGCGCCTGCCCCAGCTGGCTCTGCCATCCCCTCAGCTGCCCTCCCCTCCAAAACCAGCCCTGGAAACAATAGCGGCAGCCAAGCAGAGCTCAACAATTCCGTCTCGGAGTGTGTGGATCCAGCCGTGGTTTTTCCTTTCCCCATTAAGAAGCGAGAGCTCCCAGCCCCAGTTTCCTCGGGAGGAGGAGGAGGAGGAGTGGCAGGGGCCCGGGCAAGCATGAACTGCAGTGGTGGCCTTGCTCAAGGGGTGGCCATCCCTGCACCCCGAAACAGCCACCACCCAAGTATAACAAGTGACAGCCGGGCCAACAACAGTTCGGGAGACGATACACTCAGTGATTCTGGTAAATAACCACATCCTTTGTTATGTGTGGGTGCTGGGAGGAGGTTTCATGGGGACTCATAAACCAATACGATCTCCCTTTTTTTAAAAAAAAGCATAGTAGGTGGGATTTCGGTGGCACTTTACATCTTTTTCAACAAAGGTGGCAGCAGGAAATTGGTGGCCTAGGAGACACCATCAGATTGTTTGTCTCCCAGGGACCTTATGGGATATGGGGGGAGCATGCTTGTTTTACTCTGCCATTCCTTTCTGTAACCAGATTAAACTGAGCTTTCATTACACCTTTCTACACCTACAAACAAATATGCTGCAGCATCCACTAAAGAATATAAATTTTAGAGCGCAGTGGTTTTGGGGTGAATTGTGACACAACTGAGTGTAAAAGGAGAGAAGGAAGTTGGTGGCTGCTGTTTGCAGAGGGAATTGTCCACTGCAGAACAGCAAATTTTATTAGGGGCAGATTTAAGACAGCAATGGGACAGATGTTGGCAAGGAAGGAAACTTCTGTTAAGTAAGATGTGTTTCTGCAGTTGTAAGAGTTTAAAATGCTGGTAGGGTGAAACTGAGCCAACATTAATGAAGTAAACCCTCCAGTTAAGAGCTGGCTAGAGGCAGAACACATAATGCGATTGCACTGATTTGATAAGGAAATTCTGTAGATATAGTCCAGTTGTTATTTTTGAAAATAGTCTTTAAGTTCAAAACCAGCACAAGCCCTAGACTTTTCAGGAGTGCCTTTCATTCGAACCCTCCTAGATGTGTTGCAAAACTTTACCAGTAGGTGGCAGTATATTTTTCTTTCCTGGCTGAGTATAGTATCAAAAAGTTTACTTATGGAACTCTCCCAGCATTTTGTCCCTTACAAGACATTTGAATGTTGATGATGGAGGAATGAAATGTATTTTTAAAACCACTATGATAAGCACCACACAACTGTTAACCGCATATATTATTACTGTCCAAAATGGTACTTTATTTGAGTATTGGACAAAACCAGGCTTCTTTCATCAAAAATGTCTTCTGCTGGTTGACTTTGCAATTTAATAAGGTTTCAAAAGGAATGCTCTGTGAATTATATAGGAGGCTTTAGCAGGCTTGGGGGATTTCAATGGAACAAAATAGAGAATGCTGGCTTTAAATTCAGCAAAATGCTTATAATCTCAAGGGGTGGAGTGGGAAGGAGAATCCAGTGTGACAATAAACAGTTTCTTGTCTGTAAATGAAAGGAGCCATATGATGGTAATCATAAACTTGATGCTCAGCCTCCTGTTTCAAAAGACTCACTGCCTCCTTTAAGTCTGAGGCTTGACAGCTTTCAGCAAGAAGGCTTCCTCCTAACAGCTGTCTTCTTGGCAATAAACCAGAACTTTGGCTTAAAGGGACTGAACAACTGGGACCACTCTGCATTTTCAGAGAGAACAATTGCTTAGTTTTCTAGCCTTTTTTCAAAGAAATGGAATGGGTCCCAGGAGTGGTTTCATCTCTCTCTCTCTCTCTCCCTCCCTGTGTGTGTGTATGTGTGTGTGTGTGTGTGTGTGAGAGAGAGAGAGAGAGAGAGAATATGAGTGTGTGAATGAGAAGGTTTGTTAACCTCATATAATATAACAAATGCATTATATCTGCTTTGTGAATCAATTTTGTCCATGCAATTCAGTTCAATAGAACAATTCCATAAAATTCAGGTTAAGGCTTTTCTTTTTCTTTATGCTCTTTTTATCCTATAACCAGTTGGATTGTAATTTATTTACTTACTGGCCTGAATATCTTTCTGATCTCTAACTATGTCTCCTTTACTACTGATAGCTTGATGGCATATATGCCATGGGATCTGTGAGCTTGAGCGTGCAAATTGTATTCTGTATCTGGAAGCTGCCCTTTTCCTGCCTGCCCTTCCTGCTTTAAGATTTCTAAAAGTTTTATCCATTGGCCTTTGCTAATTAATGCCGAATGTCTGAGCCTTAAGTATGTTTCCCCCGAGTGGTAATGTCTTGACCTTTTGTCTTTCCAATAAAAGATGAAGACGAGGAAGAAGAGGATGATGAGGAAGAAATTGACGTGGTCACCGTAGAAAAGAGGCGCTCATCCTCCTACAAAGCTATCACCACCCTGACTATTGCAATGCGTCCCAAGAACGGCACTCCCTTTGCCTCTGTGAGAACTCAGCCCAATGAAGTCATCTTAAAGCGCTGTGCCCCAATCCACCAGCAGCACAACTACGCTGCGCCTTCCCCTTACATCGAGAGGGAGGATGTGCCTCCACCCAAAAAGCTAAAGAACGAAACAGCGCCTCGTCCAGCAAAGCCAGTGACCCAACCAAAGCCCAAGAGCTCCAGCCCTCGCAATTCAGATTCAGAAGACAGCGAGCGCCGTCGCAACCACAACATTTTGGAACGGCAGCGGCGTAACGATCTGAGGTCGAGTTTTCTGACATTAAGGGACCACGTGCCCGAACTGGTGAAAAATGAGAAGGCTGCCAAAGTGGTCATCTTGAAAAAAGCCACTGAGTATGTCCATTCCCTGCAGGCTGAGGAGCACAAGTTGTTGTTGGAAAAGGAAAAACTCCAAATCAGGCAACAGCAGTTGATAAAAAAATTAGAACATATGCAGACTTGCTAACGTGGGGGTTGAAAACAAACAAATAAACACCTGACCTTTATATCTATATATTTGTCTGATCTGGACAGCTATTGCCACTTTGCACATTTTTGATTCCTTAAAGAGAGCTATGGGTTTTGTTTTGTTTTTTTGACGTTAAGAATGTTGGTTTTTATTTTTCAATCCCGTCTCTTGCGTAGATGACACCACCTTGTTACCTGAAGGGGAGATCAGATGGATGTCCTTCTCTGGAATTGAAGAGACTGCCAAACCACGGTGGAATGGCTTCGTGTGTTTCATCTTGGAACTGTCTTGTGTTCTTGCAATGTTGTGAGCGTTGGGACTTGCTTATGACATCCAGTTGAGTTGGAAACATTCATTCCGTTTTAATGGTGCTTATGTTTTACAGGTGTTATGGGCAAAACCATGTTCTACCCAGGGGGAAGGGAACCGCCTGTGTAAATACCATATACACGTTTGCCTTTTGTACACGTCTTGGGTTATGAGAGGTGACTTTTGCTACCAATATTAGACTGGAAGTTCATACCTAAGTACTGTAATACCTCAATGTTTGAGGAGCATGTTTTTGTATACAAATATATTGTTAATCTCTGTTATGTACTGTACTAATTCTTACACTGCCTGTATACTTTAGTATGATGCTGATACATAACTAAATTTGATACTTATATTTTCGTATGAAAATGGTTGTGGAAAGTTTTGAGTAGATATTACTTTATCACTTTTTTGGACTAAGAAAACTTTTGTAAAGAAATTTACTATATATGCCTTTTTTTCCTAGCCTGTTTCTTCCAGTTAATGTATTTGTTAATGTTTGTTGCATAGAACTGGGTAATTGCAAAGTTCTGTGTTTAATTTCTTCCAACGATGTACATTTAGTGCTGCATCTTTATAGCACTTTGAAATACCTCATGTTTATGAAAATAAATAGCAATTAAATGATATGCTACTTATTTCTGAAAATCTTTATGACAGAAGATTTCCTATATTATTTTAACCTCTTCATTTATGGCAAATAATACCTATATAAATGTAAAAATGTTCATTAAGGGCATTGCCCCATAACTCAATTTTTATCTACCTACCGATCTACCTATCCATCTATCATCTATCTGATTTTTGATTGAGTCCAATATAAGAAATTGGTTTTGGCTTAATATACAAAGATGGGGAAAGATGGGACTTCATTTGATTGGTCCCAATCAAGCTATTATCCAGCAATTTTTTTTAATTTAATGTTTTGTGCCCCTTGCTTTATTATACTCAATGAATTCCGAGTTGACCTAGAGACAGTCGGGTGCTCTTGCACTTCAAGTTTATAAATGTTAAAAGAGTTTTGCTAAAGTAGTTTCTCTGCAAACATAACCCAAAAAGAAGTTGGGGATATTGCCCTATGACACACCAGCCAGTGTGATATGTCACTATGTTTCTAGGCACGGCTCATTTGTTCCTTAGGGGCTCTGTTTCTCAAAAGATCCTCTGGCAAAATGCATGTCATCTGAAGCAACACTTTCAAGCATCAGGAGCAAGCTTTTTCACTTGTTTAGCGTTCACCCTTCCAGTTCTTAATTTATTTATTTTTTCTATCATGGTGATATAACAACTACAACACAGCTGAATATTACAAGATGTGAGCTGCAAAAGTCTGACTAACCACTAGATGACAACAAAGAGTTAAAAGAGTTTTCAGTGTCTTTACCGCCATCTACTGGTCCTATGGTACACCTATGGCTGAAAGGACAGTGCTCTTCTTCCTATGTCAACTGAATGAAAACTTACCTAGCACTATTCTATTGGCAGTTCCACAATCCTTCAAAACGCTTTCCATGGCTCATTGTTGGAAAGCTGCTAATTTTACATAAGATTTACTCTAGCTCTCTTTTATTTTTTTGGTCCCTCAATTGCGGATAATTGAAATTTGTCCCCATTCCAGTGACTGAAACCATGCCTCAGTCTTATAAATCCAGTCCTCTTCTTTCATAGAATTGTAAGACTGGAAGGGACCATGGAGGCCGCCTAGTCCAGAGTCAAGCCAGAGTCTTAACACTATCCCAAAGAGTGAGCAATTATTCACTCTTTGAATTGGAATAATTATAAGGAGCTGTGAAGCCTGTATCGAATAAACTACAGTTACCGTAATTCCTATTTGCCACACGTGAGGCGTGGTTGTGTTTCTGGTTCTGGTTTTAAGGCAGGGTTAGGATTTGTTGTAATCACAGTTTGTCCAGTTAAGTTAAAGTGGCTGAGTTCAGACACACACTGTACTAAGCCGAGACTATAATCACAGTTGGATAAGCTATGGTGGATGACTTCACACATTACATTATCATCAAAATGACTTACATTATCATCAACATAAATCACCTTATGTAAGACAACTTTCCCAAATCTGCTGCCTTCAGGATATGCAGATCTTTCAACCTCGAGGAAACTTGGCCATGGCCACTTGCCAGAAAGCTGAAGTTTGGAGTTGAGTCCCCACATCTGGAAGCCACCCAGGCTGAAAAAGTCTTCATTTAGCATGTCTAGGTCAGTCATAGCAATGAAATGGATTTTCCCCAGGAGGGAGCCCTTAAGATCTTGGAATCCCATCATTGCTGTCATTGAAGCTATATCCACCTTGTTGCTGGATGTCTTTTCATTCTTGATAGTTCACACAAAATAGCCCCCCCACCCCCCAATTTATCATAGTCAGATTGGGAGAAGCAGGATTTCCTCATTGGTGGCAGACTTTTTGTTGTGGACTTGCCTTGCTTTGAGAAGGGCAGGCTATAGCCATCAAACTCAGACGGTATATGGTTTGTCCTGTAATATTGAGATATTGAGCTCTGGCTAAGTTGCATCAAAGACCGATGGGAACATTTCTTAATGCCAAATTCTTATTCCTGGAACAGATGTAGAGTTTGAACTATATATGCTGGAACTTGGAATTTTGGACCAGAATCTTACTTGTCTGAAATTAGATATTTCAGACCATTTGTATGCGGATGAAAGACAAAAAGAAAGCATGCTGGGTCTTTTGTTCTTCTACAACTACTAGATTACTTTATTGTCATTGCAACCATCTCTTCCTCCTTTATTTATCCTCTTGTGGTTATCTCCTGTTTAACACCTAGTCTATAAACCCTGAATAAGAGGAAATGCCAGGTTATTGGGCTTACTGGCCAATACAATTGTCTCTGATCTTGAAGAAAGGTATACAGAATTCTCTTCCCATCTGCAGTGACGAATTGGAGCACCAGAAACAGGGTGTTCCCCCCCCCCCCCCCCCCCCCCCCCCCCCGCCACACATCAGGTCAAAAGGAGTTACCCACCTTTCCTCTGGCTATTACAGGTATGGAAATGGGAAGATCCATCCTTGTTCTAACCATTCAAACTTAACTCTATTATTCTTCAGCTTCGAACACCGTTGGTTGATTTGCTGCCATGACTTTTATGTAGCTTCCTCTCCTTATGAAGTATTCTGTGCCTGAACGGCAGAAGAGGCTTTTAATTCAGTGTAATTGCTTCCATTATTTCATGAGCTCCACAGTCTTCTTTATCATTAGAATCAGCAATACATCCCAAATTAGAAGCATAAAACAAGATCTTAGATTGCTGGATGGTTTAACTATTGTTAGCCAAGCCTGATCCCCTATCTATCTATCACAAAGCTGAGCCCTGATCCAGTCGATTACATTTCCATGCACTTTGACTTTGGAGACGACCCTCTTAAATCACAAAAAAAGTAAGGCAAAGACTCTCTAGATCTAATCATAATCCCTAATGGTTTCATAAGCACGTCCATGGAGGGATCTTTAAACAAAAGGAGGAAAATGGCTTCCCATCACCTTATGAGCTTTAAAAATAAAAAAATAAAAACAACTTCCCAATCTAGTGTACTGATCTGGGATGTCCTGCCTTGCTTAGCTTTTTTGAGGTTGGCTAGGTGCTGCCATGATTATGGGCAAATCACAAAGATATTTTCTGCACATATTAATACTACAGAACTATTAATGAAGTGTATCCTTTTTGTCCTTGTTCACCTCACAGAGTTCCTCTGCTAGATGGGTGGAAACATACATTTGTTTGGTTCATAAATAAATCATAAATTCTACCATTACTACATCACAGTAATACTGCTATTGTTGAGGAAGTAGAGAACAACAGATTTGTGGTTGTAAGCAACACATTGCTTACAACCTCAGCAGCAAGGTGTTCTATGTTTGAAGTTCTCCGACCTGAAGCAGGAAGAGTTTAACTGAGGCAATGAATTTCAGTGACCACATACTTCAAGGTAGATCATACTTTGGACACAGCTCTCTAGTTTAGTCTACATTGCTGGGAAAGGTAGAAGGAAAGAAAAGAAGATGATGATTAGCAGCAAGGTGGATGGACTGAATTACAGTGACAATAGATCCACCATTGGAATACCTGATGGACCAGGTCTTCACGGAACAAAAGGTCAACATCAACTTCATAGAACAGAATCCTATTTCAAGACATACAGCCACTCTTAGAACTGACAATTTACCAACAACTGAGATTTCACTGGTAATAATTCTCCAAGATTACATTCTTTATGTATTCAGAGAAAGTCTCTCCTTATATGCATAGCACCCAGACCTAAAAAGGGGGAGAGTTTCATTAACAATATGATTGTATGTTTTAAGGATAAATCTTTATTTCCTACCATTATCCAGACATTTAATTTCTATTAAAAGTGGTAATATTATTGTGTCCTATAAAAAATGTCAGTATAAGAGAATATCATAACCAAAGGCTTTTTCAAAGTTGGGAGTAATTGTAAAATGTAAAACAGTTATGGAATAATATATTTTAAGTTACAACCCCCATGATCCATCAATAAAATATTTATGTACAATGTTGGGAGCAGTGAAATCAGGTGAAGTAATATAATTGTTTCTGTTCTTGCCGCTTCTCCAGGTCTCTTATTCTCACTTGGCCTGAAGGCTGCCCTGAAACCTTAAATCATGGTGTTGGATAAGTCACTACTTTTC